TGAGGTCTTTCTTATGGAAAAATAAAAGAAGAGATTTTCCTTTAAACGATTATTACGTTAATTTAAAACTACAAGAAACGGATAATTTTGGTAGTTCAATTGGTGAAATTCTCGATATCAAGGATATATTTAAAGAGGTAAATGATGGACAAACGATCATTCTTGTATGTGGGAATCCTGGTTCTGGAAAAACTACATTGTGCAAGAAGATTGCGTACGATTGGGCCGTCGATAATCCCTCAAACAATTACTTAAGTCATTTTGACTTTGTTGCATTCTTAACATTAAGAGAACTTCAGTATAAGAGTGTGGAGAATGCAATTCTAGAAGTATTTTGGGGAACTTCATATCAACCAGAAATAACGAAGAAAATACTAAAGGCAAATTTAAATATATTAATTATTTTAGATGAATTATGTGAAGATTACGTCTATCTTCATACAAATGGATGCGAAAATTTCTTAAATAATTTCTTTGGTATTTTTCGAAAATTGACCATTATTGTGACGAGTCATCCTCGTTGTGCAGAAGAAATAAGAGAATCCGTGAATTTTCGATTTCATCTTAAAGGATTTTCACCCGAACAGCAAGAAGAATACGCGAAGTTGGTATTCAAACAAGACGTTGATAAAACACAAAGATTCCTTAAAATATTAGAAAACGAATTTTATTTCTTTTTGTCTAAACGTCCGTTATTCTTGCATATGCTTTGTTGTATGCACAGGATTAATCAATTAGAAAATATACACAGAAAGACAGATTTGTATATTTATATAATGCAATTGATTACAAACAGATCAAAGAGAAAACTTGAGAAAAATTTCCAAGTGCCAATAGAAAAGTATTTTCCATTCGAAGGAGTTTTAGTTACATTAGGAAAATTAATTTACGAGAAAAATTCTGTTAAAAAAGTACGATTCTATCCCTTCGATAAGGAACAAAAACTTACATTCGACGAATTAAATCGAAATAACATTATTGATTGTGATTTGGATTTTCTTACTTACTGCTTTGACATTGACGATAATCCTTACTTTGATTTCGTACACGAGACCATCAAAGAATTTCTCGTCGCCCTGTATTTGTATGAGAACCCTGAATTGCCTTTCCTGAATGTCACTAGCGATTCTACAGTACCATTTGTTACAGAGTTTACAACTGATCACAATTTTCTTATATTTTACTTCGGTTTATTTCGAGACGATAAAATTCCAGAAACTTGCTTTAATAATTTAAAAAAAGTTGTGTTTTCGTTGGATCTTTCGATAATAATATACAACGAAATCGTCAATGAAGAAGACAAGACATTATTTTCGAGCACAATTAAAAAGTACGTATACTCTAACAATTTACGTATTAACAATACTGATTGGATGATTCCTATAGGATTTTTTCAAATATACTTCATTGTTGACATTTGCGATCCTCCCAACACTAACGAAGATATGTTTGAAAGTCTGAATAAACTTCACGATAAAGTTTCGCATTACACTAAAGTGGAAATATTAATATTTATGAAAATAGGGAAAGAGTTTCTTCGACCGAATGATACCAGAACAATGGAAAATAACTGGAAAAAGATGGAGAACATTCGAGATATAGTGATTAAAAACACGTGGAACAAATTTAAAATCTATTTTCGTGGAATTGTTCAGGATCCTTTTGTGATTGATCAGATTGAAGAGGGAAGTCGACTGAATGCATTCCCTGCATATTTACTTAAACATTTCAGTTGTGTCGAAAATCCTGCAGAAATATTGGTTTATGGTGTAAATCAGTTATCTTATGAGTTGGTTAGATTGAAATTTACTAAAGATAACACCGAAGATAATTGTTTACTTTTAAAGAAGGATCTGTTTGAAAGTATGCAAGATTATATAAAGTTATATCCCAGTTTATAACTGCATCTATTGCTAAATAATGACACTAAATCATCCTTGCAATGCATTTGTAGGTGTAGTAAACAGTACACTGTTGAATGAGAAATTCAAACTGCACCATAAATTGACTTTTTTTGTCGATAAAAAATTAAAAATTGCTATTCATTTTAAAAATATATTTGATGTGAAATTCTATTGTGTAACAACATAAAAATCAGTAAGCTTTCATTAAATTATATTTAAGAATAGATTAGTGATTTAAATACTTTTACTTTCAACATTATTCGGTGTTAGTTACTTGGTAGGCGATAGCAACTATTGAGTAGAATGTAAATCGAATTATACTCAGGTTTATTAATAAAGTTATATTAATTGTGAATAAAATTTTAGAAAATGTTGCATTAGTCTAAAACTTTTTATAAGAAAACTGAGTCTTGTGTATCTTTATATACAAGCAGGACCGTCGATAGCTTACATAGAAGTCCTAGGATAACGCGTGCCCCTTGTGCCATTTATTTTTAACAAATGAAATACGTAAAATGTTTATGTCGACTCTTTCAATGGTTACTACGGTAAAATAACGACGCAAAATGTGAATAACTTTACACCCGCAATCTAAGTGAACAATAGTGATTACTCGCCCACACAAACATTCTGTCCAGGTGACAAGCGATGTCAACTTGGATAATTACCGGAAAAAGATTTCCGTTTGTCTGATTTGATGGGCTGTTCGGTCATTTAAAGCTGCCAGTTCAAGCATTGCAGTTTCATGCTTAGTTTCCCCGTTTTACTCATTAGTAATATTTACAAATTTTATAAATTGTAAATTCCCATAAAATTGAGCATTTTTTTTATTTTATAAAAATTATTAATAAAAGAATTTTAAACAAAAATATAACAACAGATGCTCACTTTTCTCTCATTCAATTTTTACGGGATGATTCACCAACAAATTTTAGCGAAGGTTTAGTAATTCCCGAGATATTAATAACAGGATTAATGAATGCGATAATCTCGACACCAGCGTTACCAGATAATTTTCTTACACGTTACTCGATTGGATATTTCGGAAAGACGTAATACGCGCTTAGATACAAACATGGCAGACAACAAGAAACGAAGTCGACAACCCGATTTTTCTTATCGAGAAACAGAGTATTTAATGGAGTTATTCGAAAAATACAAAGATATAATCCAATCAAAGAAATCGAATGCCATATGCTTAAAGAAAAAAAAAACGAATCATGATAAATTCTAACCGAAGAGTTTACTAAATTTCCGGAGGTTAGTAAACGGGACAAAAAACTTAAAAGTATTGTGGAAAAGTTTGAAACAAAAAGCAAGAAAAAATGTGGCGTGAAATTAGCGTGCTCGGATGAGTACTTGGGGAGGAATATGTGCCGATACCGAGTGTCCTATGCCACCAATTACCCAACAGATATTCTCCTTAATACCCGAGTAATTTAAGCCCCTCTGAAATCCTGTCGACAGCGATGCTGATTTTAATGTTCCTATTCGAAGATGAATTTGTTTATATCTAATTACACTCGATCAAAACGAAACAGTAATAAAGCAGTTAATAATAATAAATGAACTACTAATTAGCCAAACAAAAATTAAATTTTACAGCTATATTACTTTTAAAATAATGTTCATTTATATATCACCTACATTTTAAGGTAGTCATACAGGATTTATGTCTAGTGAATTCATCAGAATTTTCTGATGATCCAACAAGGAATGAAGAAGATTTAAGAAGAAAGTGAAAGCATGATTGTAGAATTGAACTCCTGCAAGAAGAATAACTGAGAACAACAATTAAAAATAGAATTACTGCAAGAAAAATTATAAAGCAATAAAAAAAAATAGTCTTATTAATAAATTTAATATTTATAGTTATTTTTTTCAAAAGTATTTAAAATTTATATTCAATAATTTATTCTAATTACACATTCAAATTGAATGAAAGTGATACAGAATTCTTTCAGCGGTCCAAACTAACTATTGAATGAGATATCTTGACTTCGCATGAACATATTAACAATTAATAGATTAATTTAATGTTTAAAAATTTAAATTAACATTGTAAAGGAAAAAAAACAAAAGGACTAGTATATATAACAATTTTTACTTAATTTTGTTTTCAATTTCTGTATCTTTTAACTAGAAATATGTTTCTATCTACTAATTTATTAAAAACTAGAAGTTATGTTGTTTACTATTAATTATTATTAAAGTAGACCCCTATAACGCGGCTTTATATAATGCGGATTCCTATATCACAGCAAAAAAAATCGCGACCGTATTCGTATAAAGAAGCTAAAAGAGACTCGTAAAATGCGGTAAAACATCATCGCCGACTCGTGTCGCGACAGGATTGGTCGAATCTGGACCAATACTGGACGAGCAGCCGAACTATTTACACGCTACTGAGATTTTAGGCGGGTAAGTTGAGTTTACTATCGTCTGTACAGTATATAAATTAAGTACTGTAAGTCTAATACAGTACTGTAATTTTATACATTTCTTGTGAAAGAAACATTTCGTTTTCAACGGTCATAAAAATTATTTATATTAATGATGTCTTCAAAGTTCAGCGAATTTTTCGCAGAAAAATAAAACAGTGCCGTCTTTCATTGATGACATAGCTGACTCTGCTTTTAAAGAGGTGAATTCAACACCCAATTATAGTACATATTATATAAAAAGAAGTGAAAACCGTAACTGCATTACCGTCGTTTATGTACAGTATTCAATCTGTACTTCTTTCACTTTTAACTTCCAATTACGCTACAATTACAAATATTATGGACTTCAGGTGTACAGAAAACGCAGAAATGAATAATTAAATGTATTTAATTATATGCAAATAAGCAGTTAAAATCAACATTGTTAATTTAATCTAGCAGAAATTATTTGGATATACAAACAAACGTACTCGATTAAAATGATACAAACAATACAACAATCGTGTGATAAGCAGATAAACAGGTTTTTTTAACGTTCTAAAACGAAACTATATTATCTGTTATTTTATTATATGACCTTCTTCATATTCGAAACAGAAACTAACATACGGAAACACCCCCAAATCTTATTTATTCATCATTTTTCGACGTTTCAAGATCTCCCCAGTCTTAAAATGTAAAAATGTCTGAAGGGTGAGTGAGTTTTTTATTGTAAATTCAGTAAAGGTAACAAAATCCATAGGCAAGTGAGTCATTTTAGATAAAAAAAAAAAACACGTGTAATTATTACACTAATTTCGGTGGTTGTATGTAAATACTGTGAGATATCGTTTACTGTATCACAGAATTACGAATTACATAAAAATATTGTTTTATACGAAGAAAATATAATTAAATTTAGATATTTTAAAGAACTATTTTTCCTGATTATGACACAATAGTTGTGTGGTTCACTAACAGTCGAAAGAAATACGTTGGATGGCGTAATCAGGTAATTAATTTTTCTTCACATACATTTAAGTAAGAAATAAGACTAAATAGGTGTAATTATCTGTTCGAGATTATATTTTCTATTAACGTTAAACTCCATTTTTTGTGTAATTTCGTTACGGCTGCAGTAATATTAGAAGTTTGCTTTTTACCGTTTAGTTCGTTTTATCTTTCCGGTTGGTGAAATTACAAATACGGCCATTTAATGTGTACTGTATATTTGAAACATAATTACCATTATAACAAATATAATTGTTTATTTTAAGTTAAATTAACTTTTCGGTAGCCATGTTTATCTCTTGGCATAATCATTGAATGCTCCATTACAGATAATGCTACGATTAATAGTGATATTATTGAAGAAGGGTCTTATTAAAAAACTCTTATAAAGCATAATAGACACGTGGAAAATGTATAAAATCGGTCACGGTGTAATCAATATATTTGCTAGAGACAGATTATATATATGTAAGTTTAATAAATTCACAGAACCATGAGAACGATACAATAAGTCTTACTAATAAGATATGTCCTAGTAGACATTTATATAATAAATAGTATAATAAGACACGAAAGCATATAAATTAATTGAATTCTTTATAATTATCATTTTATAGAATTTATCGAGTCTCCTTTCTGTAGTTTATACTATTTTCTGGCTTTCTACTAGAGAATGAAAACAAATTTAAATTTTATAAGTTTTCTGAGTTGTATTTGTGCATTTATTTCAGATTGATTTCGATCAAGCAACTGAACAAACTGCTTAAGTAAATCGTAAAAAATATCCAAAAGTTTCTGAGAAATCTTCAAAATAAAAGAAAAAAATGCTTCAGACACTCGTTGAAAGTGGTAAGTTCTCTTATTCTTCAACAATTGTTTGATATCTTGAACAAACAAAGTTACATTAACTGCGATGTACTGTAGTTTCAGTTCTAATAAATTTCATCATGTCACTAGTTTATGGATCTTCTGACAAAGAAAGTGGTGCACTCGATCAAATACTGGATAGAGATGAATTAGGTATTATTCATTCTACAATACAGATAATAAATACAGTAAAACCTGTCACCTTTAGTCTCTTGCTAAGTGAAGCTCGGCAGGTGTGGGAAAAATCTATTAAGATCTGACAATATTTTTGGCTCATTCTTTAATATACGATCAATACAACTGCATAAAAGAACCATGATTATTACTATTTCTAATTTAGCAGAAAACTAACTTATGTTTTTATCAATAATTTATATTTCGGTTAAAAGCAGAGTTCTTCGTTTCCGACATCCATTATGATTTACGAACTGCGATTTACATTAACGAAGATCTTTCTGCTTATAATTTATGTAATGAATCACTTATCTAAATCATTATTACAGACAGAATTTTACATGTAACTGCGGTAGTGTCTTTAATTTATTCATAACTCGAACTGACCATTTTTTGATGTCTTCATATTCGAAATTTGCAGGTTTTACTGTATATATTAATATGTTACTTATTTTTCTACATTTTATAGTAGTATGTATAATCATTTATACAAGTGTTTTTTATCTAACAATCGAGAATTTTTTCAGAAACATTTGAAAGTAATAAAAACCGACTGAAGAAACTTTACCAAACAGAATACAGTTATATGAGGTCTCTCTTATGGAAGTATAAAAGAAGAGATTTTCCTCTAAAGCATTATTACGTTAATTTAAAATTGCAGGAAACAGATAATTTTGGTGTTAGTTCAATTGGTGACATTCTTGATATTAGGGACATATTTAGGGAAGTGGATGATGGACATACGAACATTCTTGTATGTGGGGATCCTGGTTATGGCAAAACTACATTGTGCAAGAAGATTGCGTACGATTGGGCTGTCGATGATCCCTCAAACAATTACTTAAGTCGTTTCGACATTGTTGCAGTCTTAACATTAACGGAACTTGAAAGTAATAAGAAATTGGAAGATGCTGTTTTAGAAGATGTGTTTGAAACTTCAGAACCAGAAATAAAGAAAAAATTACGGAGAGCAAATTTAAATGTGTTAATTATTTTAGATGAATACGATGATGTTAATAGATTTGATAGAACCAAAAATTTCTTAAGAAAGGGTTCCTTTGGTATTTTTCGAAAATTGACAATTATTGTGACGAGTCGTCCTCATTTTGCCGAAAGAATAAGAGAATACATGAATTTTCGATTTGATCTTCAAGAATTTTCACCCGAACAGAAGGAAGAATACGCGAAGTTGGTGTTCAAACAAGATGTCAATAAAACACAAACACTCATCGAAGTATTACAAAGCGAATTTTATTTCTCGTTGGCAAAAATTCCGTTATTCTTGCACCTGTTTTGTTGTTTTCATAGCAATAGTACATTAGGAGATATACGAAGATACAAGACAAATATGTATATTCATATAATGCAATTGATTACAAACAGATCAAAAAGAAAACTTCAGTCAAATGTCAATATGCCGTTAGGAAATTATTTTGCTTTGGAAGAAATTTTAGTTAGGTTAGGAAAGTTAATTTACGAAAAAAATACCAGTGAAAAAGTGCTGTTCTATCCCTTTGATAAAAATCTAAAAATTACAATCGACGAATTAAATGAATGTGTCGGTGACCGTAATAAGACTTTTTGTAAAGGTTTGGATTTTCTTTCTCACGGCTTTGACAATCAGAATAAGTTTTTATTCGATTGCGTGCACGAGAGCATCAAAGAATATCTCGTCGCCCTGTATTTGTATAAGAACCCTGAAGTACCTTTCCTGAATATCACAAGCGATTCTACTGTACCATGTATTACAGAGTTTACAACTCATCACAATTTTATTACGTTTTATTTTGGTTTATTTAAAAACGAAAAAATTCCAAAATCTTGCTTGAATAATTTAGAAAAAGGTGTGTTTTCGTTAGACATTTCGATAAGGATATACAACGAAATCGTCAGTGAAGAAGACAAGGAAATATTTTCGAACACGGTTAAAATCTACGAAAACTTTTGTAATTCATTTATCAACTATCCTGTTTGGAGTATTCCCCCAGATTTTTCTCAAATATACATAATTGTGGACATTTACGAGTCTACAAACGTTACAATTGAAAAGCTGAACAAACTTCACAAGAGAGTTCACCTTTCCTGTCAAGTGGAAATTTTTATATTTTTGAAAATTGGAAAAAAGTTCCTTCAACTGAATGATGTCAGAGCAATGAAAAATGATTGGAAAAAGTTGGAGAACATTCGGAATATATTGAGTAAAAGCACGTGGAACAAATTTAATATATATTTATGTGGAATATTTCAGGCTCCTTTTTTTATTGGATGTGAGATTGAAGAGAAAAATCGACTGATTATATATCCTGCATATTTGTTTAAAGCTTTCAGTTGTGTCGAAAAACCTGCACAAAAATTGTTTGATGATTCAAATCAATTATCTTACGAGTTGGTTAGGTTGAAATTTACTACAGAAGATGACAACGAACACAATTGCTTACTTTTAAAGAAGGATCTGTTTGAAAGTATAGAGCCCTATATAAAATTATTTCCGAATTTATAACTGCATACATTGGAAAATAATGATACTAAATGAGCCTTTCAATGCATTTGTCTGCAGTGTAATAAACGTAATGAGAAATACAAGTTGCATTATATAAATGATCTATCGGCCAATAAAATGTTATTAATTGATATCTATTATAAAAGTACAATTGATATGTAACTTTATTGTGTGACGACATAAAAGTCAGCAATATTTTACCAAATTACATTTATATATAGATTAGTGATGTAGGTACGTACGTTCAAAAATATTCGGTATCTTAGTTGCTTGTTAGGAGATTGCAGGCATTAAGTAGAATATTTTTTAATGTAAAGAAATACACTTACAACTTTATAATTAAAACTAATATTTTTATGCTTATGTTTTCCTATAAAGTATTAATTTCGGTGAACTCCGGATGATTTAAATGCAAGAGGGCCTTGGTATATGTTAACTAATAATAAATTACTGTATCTTATAACAATTACTTTGTGTTAATTTCTACAATTTTTGTATTTTTGCACTTATTAATAAAGTTATAATTGTCAATAGAATCTTTTAGAAAATGTTGCATCAGTCTAAAACTTTGTACGCAAGAAAACTCTTAGTTTCCTGTAATATTATATACAGACAGGACAGTCGACAGCTAGCATAGGGTCTGTGCCCATATTTATTTTTAACAAATGAAATATGTCGATTCCAGGTTTTCTTGTTGTTACTATTGGAAAAGAATGAGTATGACCAAATCAATAACAGGATAAGCACGATTAGAGATAAAAGAATAATCACCCGCTTTATCATTTAAACATTTTCCATTAACAATAATTATATTTAGATCATCACATAAGTGAAGCAGTTTTCTACTACAATTTCTATGTCTTTTGAATTCTTTTTCTTAGGACAAACAATACCAAAAAAGTTACGAAATGCCGTAGAAATTATATTCTCCAAACCGATCTTAGCATTGAAATCATTGGCAATCAACGCATTTCTATTATTATCTAATATCAAACCGGTTAAGGTATAAAAAATAGATTGCCAGTCATTTTCCCTAGAATAAACAAAACATACCAGAATATTACCAAGCTCAACTGCAAATGTAACAAGTGGTAGAAAGTGATAATGTTTTCACTTTTGTATGGTAATACGTTAACTGCATTAACAACGTTTTTATAATTAATCTGTGCTCCTTTTCTTTTTGAATTACAATTGCGCCACATTTACGAAGAGTAGAGACTACAGTTGACAGAATACGCAAAAATGAATAATTAAACATATTTAAATATATTCACTTAGACAGTTAAACGCAATATTGTTACTTAACTTAAGTAAAAATTCCTCTGCTGCACACAATACAACAGTCGTTTGATAAGCAGATTAACAGCTTTTTTTACGTTTACAATCAAGGNCACGATAATTTTTGATTCCTTTAAGTTCGAAATTTACAGGTTTTACTATATATTTATATATTTATTTTGCTACATTTTATAGTAACATATAAAATCATTTAAACAAGTATTTTTTATTTGATAATCGAGAATTTTTTCAGAAATACTTCAAAAAAATAAAAAAATATTGAAGAAACTTTACCAAACCAAAAACAGTTTTATGAGATCTTTGAGTTTTATGAGAAGATTGCGTACGATTGGGCTGTCGATTATCTTTCAAACGGTTACTTAAGTGATTTTGACTTTGTTGCAATCTTAACATTAAGAGAACTTCAGTATAAGAGTGTGGAGAATGCAATTCTAGAAGTAATTTGGGGAACTTCATATCAACCAGAAATAACGAAGAAAATACTAAAGGCAAAATTAAATATATTAATTATTTTAGATGGATTCTATGAAGATTACAGCTATCTTCATACAAATGGACGAGAAGATTTCTTAAATAAATTCCTTGGTATTTTTCGAAAGTTGACTATTATTGTGGCGAGTCATCCTCGTTGTGCAGAAGAAATAAGAGAATCCGTGAATTTTCGATTTCATCTTAAAAGATTTTCATCCGAACAGCAGGAAGAATACGCGAAGTTGGTGTTCAAACAAGATATTGTTAAAACAACAACATTCCTTATATTATTAAAAAACGAATTTTATTTATCTTTGTCTAAACGTCCGTTATTCTTGCATATGCTTTGTTGTATGCACAGGATTAATCAATTAGAAAATATACATAAAAAGACAGATTTGTATATTAATATAATGCAATTAATTACAAATAGATCAAAGAGAGAACTTGAGAAAAATTTCGAAGTGCCGATAGAAAAGTATTTTCCATTCGAAGAAATTTTAGTTACATTAGGAAAGTTAATTTACGAAAAAAATCCCATTAATAAAGTGCGATTCTATCCCTTCGATAAGGAACAAAAAGTTACATTCGAAGAATTAAATCAAAATAACATTATTGATTGTGATTTGGATTTTCTTACTCACTGCTTTGACATTGACGATAATCATTACTTTGATTTCGTACACGAAACCATCAAAGAATTTCTCGTCGCCCTGTATTTGTATAAGAACCCTGAAGTACCTTTCCTGAATGTCACTAGCGATTCTACAGTACCATGTGTTACAGAGTTTACAACTGATCACAATTTTGTTATATTTTACTTCGGTTTATTTGAAAACAAAAAAATTCCAGAGAGTTGCTTTAAACATTTAGAAAAAATTGTGTTTTCGTTGAATCTTTCGATAATGATATACAATGAAATCGTCAATGAAGACAAGAAAATATTTTCGAACACAGTTAAAAAGTACGAATATTCTAAGAATTTATGTATCGCCAATTTTGATTGGATGATCCCTTCAGACATTTTACAAATATACTTCATTGTTGACATTTGCGATCCTCTCAACCATTACGAAGATATGTTTGAAAGTTTGAATAAACTTCACGATAAAGTTTCGCATTGCTGTCAGTTAGAAATATTTATATTTTTGAAAATAGGGAAAGAGTTTCTTCGACCGAAAGACATCAGAGCAATGAAAAATAACTGGAAAAAAGATGGAGAACATTCGAAATATATTGATTAAAAACACGTGGAACAAATTTAAAATCTATTTCCGTGGAATAGTTGAGGCTTCTTTTGTGATTGATCAGATTCAACAGGGAAGTCGACTAAATACATTCCCTGCATATTTACTTAAACATTTCAATTGTGTTGAAAATCCTGCAGATTTATTGGTTGATGATTTAAATCAATTATGTTACGAATTGGTTAGATTGAAATTTTCTACAGAGGATGACACCGAAGAGATTTGTTTACTTTTAAAGAAGGATCTGTTTGAAAGTATACGACTTCATATCAAGTTATTTCCCGACTTATAACTGCACGAATTAGAAAATAATCACACTAAATCTTCCTTGCAATGCATTTGTAGTGTAGTAAACAGTACCCTATTGAACGAGAAATGCAAACTGCACCATAAATTGACTTTTTTTGTCGATAGAAAATTAAAAATTGCTATTAATTTCAAAAGTATATTTTTTGTGAAAATCTATTGTGTAACAAAATTAAAGTCAGCGATCTTTCATTAAATTACATTTAAGTATAGTTTAGCCATATAGTTTTAACATTATTCTGTGTTAGTTATTTGGTAGGCGATGGAAGGTATTGAGTAGAATGTAAATCGAGTTAGAGCCAGTTTTTACCAGAAAATGACGTTTAATGTAACAGGATAACAATTGCTTTATGTTAAAAACTACAATTCATGTATTTTAGTACTTATTAATAAAGTTATATTAATTGTGAGTGGAATTTCTGTTAAATGTTGCATTAGTCTAAAACTTTTTTTACAAGAAAACTGAGAGTCTTGTGTTTCTTTATATACACTATCGACAGCTTACATAGAGACTCTGGGATAACTCGTCTCTCTTGTGCCATTTATTTTTAACAAATGAAATACGTAAAATGCTAATGTCAGGTCTTCGGATGGTTACTATGGTAAAATAACGACGCGAGATGTGAATAACGTCACACCTGTCATCTAAGTCAACAATAGTGATTAGTCGCCCAAAAAAACATTTTGTCCAGGTGACAAGCGATGTCATCTTGGAACATTAACAAGAGAAAGATTTCCCTTTGTCCGATTTAATGGGCTGTTCGGTCATTCCAAGCTGCCAGTTTAATCATTGCAGTTTTGTGTCTAGTTTTTCCGTTTTACTCATTATTAACATTTACTGGTTTTATAAATTGTATATGCCCATAAAATTGAGCTTTTATTCGTTTTATAAAGATTATTAATGAAAAATATTTTAAATAAAAATATAACAACTTTTCACTCATTCAATTTTTACGGGATGTTTCACCAACATTGCCTAATCGTAGTATTTATAAATCCATTGATTATACTAATACCGAGATTACTGACGAGAAGATTTCACTAACAAATATTAGTGAAGGATTAGTAAAGCTCGAGATATTAATAACAGGATTAGTGAATCAGATAATTTGGATACAAGCGTTACTTAAAAATTTTGTTACACGTTACTTAGTTGGATATTTCGGAAAGACGTAATACGCGCTTAGATACAAACATGGCAGACAACAAGAAACGAAGTCGACAACCCGATTTTTCTTATCGAGAAACAGAGTATTTAATGGAGTTATTCGAAAAATACAAAGATATAATCCAATCAAAGAAATCGAATGCCATATGCTTAAAGAAAAAAAAAACGAATCATGATAAATTCTAACCGAAGAGTTTACTAAATTTCCGGAGGTTAGTAAACGGGACAAAAAACTTAAAAGTATTGTGGAAAAGTTTGAAACAAAAAGCAAGAAAAAATGTGGCGTGAAATTAGCGTGCTCGGATGAGTACTTGGGGAGGAATATGTGCCGATACCGAGTGTCCTATGCCACCAATTACCCAACAGATATTCTCCTTAATACCCGAGTAATTTAAGCCCCTCTGAAATCCTGTCGACAGCGATGCTGATTTTAATGTTCCTATTCGAAGATGAATTTGTTTATATCTAATTACACTCGATCAAAACGAAACAGTAATAAAGCAGTTAATAATAATAAATGAACTACTAATTAGCCAAACAAAAATTAAATTTTACAGCTATATTACTTTTAAAATAATGTTCATTTATATATCACCTACATTTTAAGGTAGTCATACAGGATTTATGTCTAGTGAATTCATCAGAATTTTCTGATGATCCAACAAGGAATGAAGAAGATTTAAGAAGAAAGTGAAAGCATGATTGTAGAATTGAACTCCTGCAAGAAGAATAACTGAGAACAACAATTAAAAATAGAATTACTGNAAAAAATTTATATTGTTAATTTAAATAATTGCTAGAAGCGCCCTTAGTAGCCGTTTTTGGTATACCGTGACAGAATAGTTCATGTTGTTAACTACAATAATAGACTTTTCTAATAGACAGAAAGTACTAATTCATGTGTCAACATCTAGTGAGGAAAGAGACAAATATACAGACAAAAATATGTTGCAGTTTTATTTAATTAATAAAAAATCTGTTGTTTTTGTTGGCGGTAAACATTCCGGGGATCATAAAGATGATACAGTTAAAATTTGGTAACGATTGGTTCAGTAGTTTTCACGGTTAGTGGTCACAAACGAAAAATAGGTTGTCTCTTTATATAGTAGTATAGATATAGATACAGACAGCACGCATGAAGTCCGGGATAGCGCGTGTTTCATGTGTCATTTGTGTTTAACAAATGAAATACGTAATATGCCGATGCCAAGTTCTCCGATGGTTACTATTGGTAAAGAATAGCGCCTGATGCAAATAACGTATGGCGCGTGAGGCGAATTCCACTCAAACATCAGAAGTCAGATTCACAATATAATGTTGACATTACGAAATAAAAGTGGGTATATAATTGTTTTAAATGTAAATTCAAACATTTACCTACAGTTTTTGAAGTAGGTACGTGAGTATAGTAGACCCCTATAACACGGGTTCATATAATACGGATTCGTATAACACGGCGAAAAAATTGCGATCGTATTCGTATAAACACGCTAAAGGAGACTCGTATGATACGGTAAAACGTCATCGCCGACTCGTGTCACGACAGGATTGGTCGAATCTATAGCAATAGTGGATATTGCACAAACCGTTGAGTGTAAACTAGCAGCGAACCTACTAAAAACCATTTATTATTTAACGGCCATAAAAATATATTTATATTAATGATGTCTCCAAAGTTCGACGAATTTTTCGAAGGAAAATAACTTATCAGGAAACACAAACTTACCGTTCTATGCGCCGCTCCGCGACGAAAACAAGCTTAAGCAATGGCGTCGTCGAACGGTGCACACTCGGTAAGTAATCCTACAATTTTTTGTTTATAGCATAGTTTATATGGATTATTCCAAAAAATTATACGTGTCTTGGAAATGTTGAGTCAAATCAGCCTAGAATCGATTAATTTTATGGAGAAAACCTTTCAAACAGCCGTAGTCCGTAAACTGCACACGTGCCGGGCTGTGATTGGCTCATGTATTTAAGTGACTCGTACAACATGGAATTCATAAAACACGGAACGTATCTATAGGAGAGTCTACTGTATTGTTGTTGTTGCTTTGGTACTTATACGGCATAATGTCTGATTCGAAAAGCTCAACTCAAATGACACCATCGTGAAGGAGGAAAGTCAAATATAGTACAAGCTTTGACAACTGATCGAACGATCCTCTGTTTAGTACTTGGCTTAGAAAACGAGACAATTACACTGCTGAATGTAAATTATGCACGACCGGTAATACAGTTAAATGCGAAGGTAAAAGAGCTTTGATTATGCATTCAGAATGTAAAAAACATAAGTTATTTTTCAAAAACAAGTCTACTGTGGCATCAATTTCTAGTTTCTTTGCGCAAAAACATTCACGAGATGAAGATACATCTGCGGCAGAAGTTACATCTGCGTATTATAGGAATTAAACATCATTACAGTTACTCAAGCCAAGATTGAATAAATAAGATGTTTCGTGCGTTATTCCCTAATACCAGAAGTTATCAAAGCAAAAAAAAAATGTTTATTAAAAAGAAATACAAAAAACTAATAGGAAAACTATTATATGTAAATAAACAGGACAAACCAGACAAATCTCTTAAATGTAATAAAATTCTGTTTTAAAAATGAAGATGAAACATATCGAATGCAAGCCATCAAAATAAATCTGAAATTTTGGAAAAGTAAAACTGTCTTCAACCAAAAAGAACGTGAAATATAGAAAAAAAAATGAATGAAAAAAATTAAGATTTTGTTATATCAGCATTGAAAGATACCTTTACAGAAAGACAAATATACAATCTGCTGGAGAGAAAAAAAAATTATAAATGAAAGAAAGAATATATGAATTAGTCATTTACTTTGAGATATTTAAGCATAAGATGATATTTATCTTAACGTGTAAAGTAAATCAGGATTCTCTATAAAATCTATTTTCTCACATTCGAACTAGAGGTGGTTAATATGATCACCCTAGTCCACTTTAAGTGATATGTAGAACTAGCTGCAATGACCCTCTTCGCTGGGCAAATGTAACGATAGTAAAGATTAAGATAATTACATTATAGCCAATCTTACCCGTTTTCACAAAATGCAAGAATTAGGTCCCCCGTTTCCAGACAAATTAGAGAATCTTTACGTCCAGTCAAACGAACTATTTTCAATTTGATCAATTTTGTGGAACGTTTACAATCGTTCTATAATCGAATTCGAAAATTTTTAAAATCGAAATAGAAAATCTTTCACTTTCAACCACTTTCAAGCCCATATCTCCCGCACCCTTATAGCTATTGAGAAGCAACCACCATAGTGCACGAATGGAGACTCGGAGCTACTATAACATACAAACACCATTCATGTGCGATGTGTAGTTTTGGCTCAAAAATGAAATATAGGAACACACACGTCCATTTATATATATATATACTAGCTGTTACCCGCGACTTCGTCAGCGGAGGTTTTGCAAGCAAACCCCATTTACATCCAATATTTCAATAACCATAATAATTGTTATATAACACNCATAAAAATACTGTTTTCTAGGAAAAAATAATAATTAAATTCAGATATTTTAAAATATAATACGCCTGTAAAAATAAAAAACTATTTTTTTTATTACGTCACAAAACCGTTGTGTCGTCCACGTAACAGTTGAAACCAATAGGTCGCATTCCATAGTCAGGTAATTAATTTTTTCTTCATTTAAGAAATGAGACTAAACACGTGTAATTACCTTTTCGATTTTATATTTTCTATTAGCTTTACACTCCATTTTTGTGTAAATTCGTTATGGCTGCAGCAATATTAAAATTTTACTATTTACCGTTCATTTCGTCCTAACTTTTCGGTTAGTAAAATTATAAATAAGGCCATTTAATGTGTATATTTGAAACATAATTACCGTTATAACAAATATAATTATTTATTTTAAGTTAAATTAACTTTTTGGTAGCCATGTTTATCTCCCGGTATAATCGTTGAATGCTCGATTACTGATAATACTACGATAAAGAGTGATATCATTAAAGAAGGGTCTTATTAAAAAAACTTGAATAAAGCATAATAACACGTCGAAGATGTATAAAATCGGCCACGGTGTAGTCAATATATTTACTAGAGATAAATTATATACTGTATATGTAAGTTTAATAAATTCACAGAACCAGGAGACCAATACAATAAGTCCTACTAACACGATATGTCCTAGTAGACATTTATACAATAAATAGTATAATAGGACACAAAAGCATATGAATAAATGGCATTATTTATAATTATCATTTTATAGAATATATCGAGTCTCCTTTCTGTAGTTTATACTATTTTCTGGCTTTCGACTAAATAATGAAAACAAATTCAAATGTAGACACGTGGTACAGAGTTTACAACTCATCATAATTTTATTGCGTTTTATTTTGGTTTATTTAGAAAGGAAAAAATCTCAAAAACATGCTTCAAGAATTTAGAAAAAGTTGTGTCTTCGTTGGACATTTCGATAATGATATACGACGAAATTGTCAATGAAAAAGACAAGAAAATATTTTCGAACACAGTTAAAATGTCCGAATACTATTGTAATTCACGTATCGACTATTTTGTTCGGACGATTCCCCCAGATTTTTATCAAATATACACAATTGTTGACATTTGCGAGTCTCCCAATCCTTTCGTTACGTTTGAAAACTTGAATTAACTTCACGATAGAGTTCGGCTTTCCTGTCAAGTGAAAATATTTATGTTTGTGGTAATAGGGGAAGAGTTTCTTCGTACGAAAGATATAAGAGCATTGAGAAATGATTAGAAAAAGATGGAGAACATTGGGGATATATTGAGTAAAAGCACGTGGAACAAATTTGAGGTATATTTATGTGGAATAGCTCGAGTGCCTAATGGCATTGATCAGATTGAACAGGGAAGTCGACTAAATACATTCCCTGCATATTTACTTAAGGCTTTCAATTGTGTCGAAAATCCTTCAAATATGTTAATTAAGGTTTCAAATCTTTTATTTTATGAGTCGGTTGGATTAAAATTTTCTACTGACAATGACACCGAAGACAATTGTTTACTTATAAAGAAGTATGTGTTTGAAAGTTTGCGGCCTTATATTAATTAAGTTATTTTCCGATTTATAACTGCATGAATTGGAAAATAATTACACGAAATCATCCATGCGATACATTTATCTGTGGTGTAGTAAACAGTAAACTATTTAATGAACAATGACAACTGCACCATAAAATTGACCTTTCCTTCAATAGAAAATTTATTTATNAAACAGTGCCGTCTTTCATTGATGACATAGCTGACTCTGCTTTTAAAGAGGTGAATTCAACACCCAATTATAGTACATATTATATAAAAAGAAGTGAAAACCGTAACTGCATTACCGTCGTTTATGTACAGTATTCAATCTGTACTTCTTTCACTTTTAACTTCCAATTACGCTACAATTACAAATATTATGGACTTCAGGTGTACAGAAAACGCAGAAATGAATAATTAAATGTATTTAATTATATGCAAATAAGCAGTTAAAATCAACATTGTTAATTTAATCTAGCAGAAATTATTTGGATATACAAACAAACGTACTCGATTAAAATGATACAAACAATACAACAATCGTGTGATAAGCAGATAAACAGGTTTTTTTAACGTTCTAAAACGAAACTATATTATCTGTTATTTTATTATATGACCTTCTTCATATTCGAAACAGAAACTAACATACGGAAACACCCCCAAATCTTATTTATTCATCATTTTTCGACGTTTCAAGATCTCCCCAGTCTTAAAATGTAAAAATGTCTGAAGGGTGAGTGAGTTTTTTATTGTAAATTCAGTAAAGGTAACAAAATCCATAGGCAAGTGAGTCATTTTAGATANAAATGCTTCAGACACTCGTTGAAAGTGGTAAGTTCTCTTATTCTTCAACAATTGTTTGATATCTTGAACAAACAAAGTTACATTAACTGCGATGTACTATAGTTTCAGTTCAAATAAATTTCATCATGTCACTAGTTTATGGATCTTCTGACAAAGAAAATGGTGCACTGGATCAAATACTGAATAGAGACGAATTAGGTATGATTCATTCTACAATATAAATAATAAATACAGTAAAACCCGTGACTTTCAGTCCCTTGTGAAGAAAACCTCAGCAGGTGTAAGAAAACCTGTTAAGATCTGCCAATACTTTTGGTTCATTGTTTAATATAGGATTAATACAGATGCATAAGTAAACCATGATTATTAATATTTTTAATTTAGCAAAAAACTAAATTAAGTTTTTATAAATAATTGATATTTCGGTTTAGAGCAGAGTTTTTCGTTTCCGGCAGTCATTATAATTTACGAACTGCCGAAGCAATTTACATTAACAAAGATCTATTTCTAACCAGGTAAATATTCCTGTTTATAATTTATGTAATGAACCATTTACCTAAATCATTATTACAGACAGAATTTTACATGTAAGGCTAGGACTCCACTACCGTAAAAACTGCGTAAAAACCCCTCGCTGTAAAAGCTTTTAATCACGTGACCTATTTGCGTTTGCGCTCGGATTACGGTGAAGGTCCAGCTAGCGCGAAGTTTTTACGGCAACGGTGCTACCCCAAGTTTCGAAAATAAATAATTTTCGCACGTGAATTGGTAGAAACGAAAGACGGTTGTATACGTGATGTATCGATATAAAGACAATGATTATATTCTACGAGTTTTTTCTATACTATAATTACAAATGTAGAAAAATAATATCTTTACTTTTATATACTAATTTTTATTATCGTATTATTAAGATAATATACAGCACTTATAAGCTTAGCTTTTTTATTATATATTCCTCTAAATTGAAGGATTTCCTTTGGTATCCATTATTATAATCAGGTTACCTCTTGTCGTAGATACACGAATACTTTCGGATGTTTTCGATAAATCTTTCCGGATCTATTCTAGAGTACCCACGAGGAAACGTACACAAAAGCTCGTTTTCCGCCATTTTAGCTGCGTGTCGCGATGACCTAGATTTCACTGACTTCTGATTGGTGGAAGGTACCTCTTTACGGCGGTATTCGCGTCGAAAGTTGAACATAGCTCAACTCGCTTTTACGCTGGTTTTACGGCCTGCTCAAGCTTAAGATATCAGGGTCACGTAATTAAAAGCTTTTACGGCAAGGGGTTTTTACACCGTTTTTACGGTAGTGGAGTCCTAACCTAACTGCTGAAATATATGTAATTTATTCATAACTCAAACTGGCCATTTTTTTTTTTTTATTTCTTATTCGAAATTTACAGGTTTTACTGTATACAGTATATGTCATTTATTTTCCTACATTTTATAGTAACATGTACAATCATTTAAACATGTATTTTAATCTAACAATCGAGATTTTTTTCAGAAACATTTGTAAATAATAAAAAACGACTGAAGAAACTTTACCAAACAGAATACAGTTATATGAGGTCTTTCTTATGGGAGAATAAGAGTAGAGATTTTCCTCTTAAGGATTATTACGTTAATTTAAAACTGCAGGAAACACATAATTTTAGTGTTAGTCCAATTGGTGACATTCTTGATATCAAGGATATATTTACAGAAGTGGACGAGCATTCTTGTATGTGGAGATCCTGGTTATGGCAAAACTACATTGTGCAAGAAGATTGCCTACGATTGGGCTGTCGATGATCCCTCAAACAATTACTTAAGTCATTTCGACATTGTTGCATTGTTAACATTAACGGAACTTGAAAGTGATAAGAAATTGGAAGATGCTGTTCTAGAAGATATTTTTGAAACTTCACAACCAGAAATGAAAAAAAAATTACGGAGGGAAAATTCAAATGTCTTAATTATTTTAGATGAATACGATGGTATTAATAGTTTTGATAGAACCAAACATTTCTTAAGAAAGGGTTCCTTTGGTATTTTTCGAAAGTTGACCATTATTGTGACGGGTCGTCCTCACACAGCAGAAAAAGTAAGAGAATACATGAATTTTCGATTTCATCTTCAAAAATTTTCACCCGAACAGCAGAAAAAATACATAAAGTTGGTGTTCAAACAAAATGTTTATAAAACACAAACACTTCTTATATTATTAGGAAACGAATTTTATATTTCTTTGTCTAAAAATCCGTTATTCTTGCATATGCTTTGTTGTTTACATAGCAATAGTACATTAGAACATATACGAAGATACAAGAGCGATATGTATATTTATATAATGCAATTAATTACATATAGGTCAAAGAGAAAACTCGAGAGAAATTTCAATGTGCCGATAGGAAAATATTTCGCTTTGGAAGACATTTTAGTTAGATTAGGAAAGTTAATTTACGAGAAAAATACTAATAAACAAGTGTTATTCTATCCCTTCGATAAAAAACAAAAAATTACAATCGACGAATTAAATAAATATGTCGGTGACCGTAATAAAACATTTTGTAATGGTTTGGATTTTCTTTCTCACTGCTTTGACATTGACAATAATCCTTACTTTGATAGCGTGCACGAGTCCATCAAAGAATTTCTCGTCGCCCTGTATTTGTATAAGAACCCTGAAGTGCCTTTCCTGAATGTTACTAGGTGTTCTACTATACCACGTGATAAAGAGTTTACAAGTCATCATAATTTTATTACGTTTTATTTTGGTTTATTTAGAAAAGAAAAAATTCCAAAAACTTGCTTCAAGAATTTAGAAAAAGTTGTGCTTTCGTTGGACATTTCGATAATAATATACAACGAAATCATCAATGAAGAAGACAAGAAAATATTTTCGAACACGGTCAAAAAGTGCGAAAACTGTTACAATTCACGTATGGACTATTCTGTTTGGGGTATTCCCCCAAACTTTTCACAAATATACTTTATTGTTGACATTTACGAGTCTACAAATGTTACGTTTGAAAAGCTGAATAAACTTCACGACAGAATTTGGTTTTCCTGTCATGTGGAAATATTTATATTTATGAATATATGGAAAAAGTTTCTTCGACCGAAAGATATAAGAGCATTGAGAAATGATTGGAAAAAGATGGAGAACATTCGAGATATATTGTTTAAATTCACGTGGAACAAATTTAAAATATATTTATGTGGAATATTTCAGGTTCCTTTTCTTATTAGATGTCAGATTGAAGAGGTAAGTCGACTGATTACATTCCCTGCATATTTCCTTAAAGCTTTCAGTTGTGTCGAAAATTCTGCACAAATATTGTTTGATGATATACATCAATTATCTTACGAATTGGTTAGGTTGAAATTTACTACAGAAGATGACACCAAACATAATTTTTTACTTTTAAACAAAGATCTGTTTGAAAGTTTGCGGCCTTATATAAAGTTATTTCCCAATTTATAACTGCATACTTTGGAAAATAATTATACTAAATGATCCTTTAAATGCATTTGTCTGCAGTGTAGTAAACGTAATGAGAAATGCAAGTTGCATTATATAAATGACCTTTCGGTCAATAGAATGTTATTAATTAATTGATTTCTATTATAAAACTATAGTTTATGTGTAAATTTATTGCGAGAAGTCATAAAAGTCAGCAATCTTTCTCCAAATTACATTTATATATAAATTAGTGATGTAGATATCTTGTACGCTCAAAAATATTCGGTATCTTAGTTGCTTGTTAGGAAATGGCAGGTATTCAGTAGAATACTTATTCAATGTATAGAAATACACTCACAACTTAAGAATAAAAAATTCAATTTTGAGTATCCTATACTCAAAATTGAATTTTTTCCTATAAAGTATTAATTTCCGTGAACTTCAGCTAATTTAAATGCAAGAAAGCTTTGGTATATGTTAACTATTTATAAATTATTGTATCTTATAACAATTGCTTTATGTTAAATTCTACAATTTTTGTATTTTTACACTTATTAATAAAGTTATAATTGTGAATAAAAATTTTTAAAAAATGTTTCATCAGTCTAAAACATTGTACGTAAGAAAACTCTTAGTTTCCTGTAATATTATATACAGACAGGACCGTCGACAGCTAGCAAAGGATCCGTGTCCCAATTGCCATTATTTTTAAGAAATGAAATACGTAATATGCCGATGCCCGGTCTTTCGGTGGTTACTATGGAAAAAGAATGGGTATGACCAAATCAATAACAGGATAAGCACGATTAGAGATAAAAGAATAATCACCCGCTTTATCATTTAAACATTTTCCATTAACAATAATTATATTTAGATTATCACATAAGTGAAGCAGCTTCCTACTACAATCACTATGTCTTTCGAATTATTCTGCTTAGGAGAAACAATACCGAAAAAATTACAAAATTCCTTACAAATTACTTTCTCCAAACCGATATTAGCATTGAAATCACCGGCAATCAACACATTTCTATTATCATCTAACATCAAACCGGTTAAGATATAAAAAATAGATTGCCAGTCATTTTCCCGAGAATAAACAAAACATATAAAAACATTATTAAGCTCAACTGCAAATTTAACAAGTGGTAGAAAGTGATAATGTATTCACTTTTGTATGGTAATATAGTTAATACCTTAACTGCATTAACAACGTTTATATAATTAATCTGTGCTGCTTTTCTTTTTGAATTACAATTGCGCCACATTTACGAAGATTAGGGACTACAGTTGACAGAATAGGCAAAAATGTATAACTAAATATTTTTAAATATATGCAATTAAATAGTTAAATGCAATGCTGTTACTTAACTTAATGAAGCAGAAAGTTTTCGGCTGCACACAATACAACAGTCGTTTGATAAGCAAATTAACAGTTTTTTTTACGTTTACATTCAAAGTATATTATCTGTTATTTTATCTTATGACCTTCTTCATATTCGAAATAGAAACTAACATACAGAAACACCCCCAAATCTTATTTATTAATAATTTTTCGACGTTTCAAGATCGCCCCCGACACCAAAAATGTTTCGGTGATGACTTTTTTGACGAAAAATTCAATAAAGATAGAAAAATCAAAAGCTAGTGAGTCATTTTACATAGAAAACAGGTGTAATTAATACACTAGTTTCGGTGGTTGTATATAAATACTGTGGGGTATTGTTTACTGTAGATGGAAAATTACGAATTACATGAAATTACAGTTTAATGTAAAGACAAAAATAATTAAATTCATATATTTTAAAATATATTACGCCTGCGAAAATAAATAAAAAAACTATTTTTCCTGATTACCTCACAGAACCGTTGTGTTGTCCACGTAACAGTTGAAACGATTAGGTGATTAGGTCGAATGGCGTAGTCAGGTAATTAATTTCTTCTTCATTTATTTGAAGGTAAAAAATGAGACTAAATAGGTGTAATTACCTGTCAGGTTTTATACTTTTTATCAAATTTGCACTCCATTTTTGTGTAATTTCGTTGTGGCTGTAGCACTATTAGAAGTTTGCTTCTTACCGTTCAGTTCGTTTCATGTTTCCGGTTGGTGAAATTATAAATAAGGCCATTTAATGTGTATATTTGAAACATAATTACCGTTATAACAAATATATTTGTTTATTTTAAGTTAAATTCACTTTTAGGTAGCCATGTTTATCTCTCGGTGTTATCATTGAATGCTCGATTACTGATAATACTACGGTAATAGTATTATTATTAAAGAAGGGTCTTATTAAAAAATTTTTATAAAGCATAAAAAACCCGTGGAAGATGTATAAAATCAGCCTCGGTGTAGTGATTATATTTGCTACAGACAGATTATATATATATATTAGTGTTGCAACGAATAGTATATACGGCCAGGAGCGTGACCGATTAGCTGAATACAGTAGACCTCCCTATAACGAGGGTTCCTATAGTTCGGATTCCTATATGACTGCGAAAAAATTGCGACGGTATCCGTACAAACATGCTAAAAAACTCCTATAATTCGGTAAAACGTCATTGGGCAGCCGAACTACTTTTTGCCGTCTAGCGCCACGCTACGGACAGTATAGGCGAGTAAGTTGAGTTTACTATCGTCTGTACAGTATGTAAATTAGGTACCGTAAGTCTAATACAGTACTGTAATTTTATACATTTCTTGTGAAAAAAAACATTACTTATTCAACGGCCATAAAAATTATTTCTATTAACGATGTCTCCAAAGGTCAACGAAGTTTTCGCAGAAAAATAACTTATCAGAAATCGCGACCGCCGTTTGGTGCGCCTCTCCGCGACGAAAACAAGTTAAGCAATGGCGACGTCGAATGGTGCACACTCGGTAAGTAATACTACAATTTTTTGTTTATAGCATAGTTAATACGGATTATTTTCGAAAAAATGATACGTGTTTTGAAAAAGTTGAGTCGAATTAGTCTAGGAATCGATTAATTTTATGGAAGAAAACCTTTCAAACAGCCGTAGTCCGTAAATTTCACACGTGTCGGGCTGTGATTGGCAAGGTCTCCTAAAACATCAATTTCATAAAAAACGGAACGTATCTACCGTGTTATAGGGGGGTCGATTGTATTCGGCCGAACTATTCGGCTCGATTAACGCACGTACGAAAATTGGCAAGCAAACCGCATTATGGCAAGGACCCTGCTCTCTATTGTCCCGATGTCACTACGCTTCGCCAATCGCGTTA